CCCCCTCCCAGCCACGCTGGGATGACTGCGGACATGGTCACTGCCCTCTGTGGCACCCCTGGGTGCCGTGGTGCTGGCCATGCATGGGAGCTGGCAGCAGGGCTGGGGTGTTTCTGCAGCCATAAAGCCACCTGGATTTGGGATGGCACCCTGCTAGGGGCCTGCAGGAGCTGGCACTGCCTAGAGCAAAGCTTTGGTATCTGTTTTCAGCCAACTCGGGGACCCCAGAGGACACAGCTGCCCGACTGGAGAAGGCGCCAAGCGAGATGAGGCACCTGCAGGATGGAGGAGCAAAGGTGCCCAGCTGCCCAGCCCTCAGGGGGGGCTGCCTGAGGGTCTGGAGGCTGCAGCCCCACACCCTGCTTGCACACTGGGGCAGCTCTCAGGATGTCCTCACTGGCCACTCACTGGAGCCACCCATAAGCATACCTCCCTGCCTCGCTGGGGTCCTGCAGCCACCCTGTTTCTCACCCAGGGCCACTTTTGTCCTCCTCAGGGGCTGGATTTTGGCAGGGAGGTGCTGGACCAGGTGGGGCAGCTGCAGGAGCAGTGCACAAGGCTGCAGGAAGCTGCGGAACGGCTGTGGGGTGACACCGAGGACACCCAGGTGAGCACAGCCCTGGGCTCAGCTCAGAAGCCGCTTGTGCCATGGCTGGCATCTGAACCAGGCTAGGTACAGGCTTGCCCAGACTTGGCGCATCTCCATATCCCCAGCGTGCCAGGATTTCGTGGCCACGCCACGTTGACAGAGCTGGGGATGAACAATGATGAGCAGCTCTGAGGGAGGCATAAGAGACACCAGGGGCATGTGGCAGGCATGGAGCCTGCGTAGGATGGTGGAGCACCTAGCCATGAGCAAGGTGCTTCTGGAGCAGCGCTTGGATGTTGTGAGCAAGCAAAGGCATGCGGGGATGGTGGCAGGGCTGGGGGCCTGCAGGGGATGGCTGACACCATGTCCCCCTCAGAAAGCAGACAAGGCTGCGCTGGAGACCAAATCGAGCCAGGAGGAGCTGCAACGTGCCATGGTCCAGCTGAGTGAGATGATGCAGGACCTGCTGCAGAGGATGTCTCTGCTGGACCAGGACAGACAGAAAGCCCTGGATAAGCTCCTCAGTGAGATGGACTCCAAGGTAGCAGTGTCACCTGGGTAGGGTGGTGGGGATGGAGGGATGCACCAGACCAGGGAGCACATCCATGCATGGGGAAGGTGAGCCCTGAATCTGCCAACGGCAAGAGATGAAGGTCCTCACTCCATGGCTGGCCATGTCTCCCAAGGTGTCCCCAATGCTCCTCAGGGGCAACAGCATCCCTTGAAATGGGTCTGATGTCCCAACAAGACCCCCTGCCCTCCCTGCAGCTGGACTGTGCGGCGCTGGCTCCCCTGCAGGCGCAGCTGGAGCAGGTGTGGAGGCTCACCCAGCAGTGCCTCTGCCAGGGACCCTGCTGCGGTGCCAAACGTGCCGCCGGATTCAAGAGGTGGGGGCTGCTGGGTCCCATCCCATCCTATCCCACCTTGTCCCATTCTGTCCTCTCCTGTACTGCCCCATCCCCTCCCATGCTGCCCCATCCTGCCCTGTCCGTCCCATCCAGACCGTTTGTCCCACCCTGCCCATGAGGCGCCGGCCACCCATGGCACCTCACACGGTCCCTGGGGTGCTGGTGGGGCGCTGAGCAGCCGCCCCTGTGTTGCAGGCAGCTCTTTGCTCCAGTGAAGTGCATCTCCTGTGACAGACCCCTGGCTGTGGCCCCCGCACCGTGAGTACTGTGCACCCCTCCAGGACAGACCCCCATGCTTCATTTCCACTAGAGACCGCTGCCCGA